ATTCCCTTTTGAAAGCTACTATTGAATCTGCTTCCACCACCCTTTCAGGCGTATCAAATTATTTCATTAGTTAATCAGGGCGATCAGGTCCCTTCTCGATTGTCTCTTCTTCCAAAGCTCTAACCTGTCAATCCTTAAACTGCTTGAAACAAGACACCGAGGTTCCCTACAGGCTCCGTGAGGCGGTGTCTACATCCAAGTAGGCACTGATGGGAGACAAGCAGGAGTGCATCCGTCTTGTCGACATTCAGTTGGAGAAAGTCCTGATGCCATCCTTCAGATGAGACTTCAAGGTCTGAGGTCCCATCCTACTGTTCGGTGGTTGTTAAAAGATCCCATGGCATTATTCGAAAAGAGAATTTCTGCCTGGCCAAGAATTCTTCAGATAAAAACTGGTCATTTACTTCATAATAATAATAATAATCCTTGCATTTGATATAGCGCTTTTCACGTCTTCTAGAAGTCTCAAAGCGCTTCACAGAATATGCTGTAAAGTGAATTGACTGTATATTTATGGGCTGCTTCTGGGAAACTGCTGCTGGTGTGAACAAACTGGCTGCCGCGTGTGCCTAAAAATACAGTCACTACTTTATAAAAGTTGCTGCACTCCATAGTATAACAAAAACACCACCAACTTGCACTTATATAGCACCCTCCACACAGGTTAGTGTCTCAGAGCGGCAGAGCTTGACTCCGAGCTGGGTGAGGGGTTTGAGGGGAAGTGGCCATAAGTATATCCCATGAAGCACTTTGGGGACATCTTCCCAACACGAAGGGCGCTGTATAAATGCAATTTCCTTATTTGCATAATTCTTGCATTTGATACTTAAATGTTTAAAGTGACTTACAGGTGACTTCTATCAACACAAATAATGTTACTTGTATCAATACAAATAATGTTACTTCTATCAATACAAATAATGTTACTTTTATCAATACAAATAATGTTACTTCTATCAACACAAATGCGACAGCCATTTTTAACAGCAAAATCTTACGAACAACCATTATGTGGAAAAAAAAGGAGGATTATTAGCCAGACCATCAGGAGAATTTACCTTTTCTTTCTGAACTGCATCATGAGGTCCTCAATGTTCACTTAAACAGGCTGACACGACATTGGTTTAATACTGTACCTCATTTGAAGGATGGCACATTAACCAAGGCTGGACAGCATCAACCTGAGCCATTTGTTCAAGTCCCGACTGGGGCTTGAACCCACAACCTTCTTCCTGAGAGGCAAGAAAACTGTCAACTGAGCCAGATTGACACTCTGCGAAGAACAAGTTCTGTTCATCAGCACGACACCTTTCAGCTTGCCAAGCGTAAAATTCACACCGCACACCCAAATTCTTTTTTGAGCTTTCGTTTTGCAACTAAAGAGCTAAATGGTTTTCAAAAGATTTTTTTTAAACAAAGGAATAACACCTACTTCCAGTAGTTGGCAGAATCTTAATGCAGAGTCACAACCCAATTAAAATGTTAAAAGCAGGCTCGCGTCAACCAGTGATTTTACGCTGATTTCCTAACCCAGAATGTTGATGTGCATCTTACTCTGTCTTCTTGCCCTTGGAACAATATGACAACCACTACCATTTCCAAAGCAGTAATGATTCCCATGCACCTGCCCTATCTCCTTAAAAATTCCACAAACTGCATCTCGACCTGCTACTGACATGTTATTAATATATCAAAACACCGTCAACTTACTCTTTGCTTACAAGGTGTACATTTCAACCACCTTTATAGTGCTTATGTAAATAAAACCTATTATGCTTGTGATTTATATTCAGTTGTTATCAAAACATGATTACGTTGCTGTGCTGTACAGTGATACACAGCAACTTTAAGTCGTTCGTCCTTGTCAGGCTTTTGAAAGTAGAAATGCATTTTCACCATCTCCGTTGTGTGTGCACCGCCCCCTTGGCTCAGCTCACTATTCTTATTGGAGCCTGACTGCCAAGCTCTGCTCCACAATCCCCTTTATCAACAGCTGTTGGGACAATCACTGCCTCAGCGCATCATTCTGGTTATAATAATAATAACAATAATAATCCTTGCATTTGATTTAGCCCCTTATCACGTCTTTGAGAGTCTCAAAGTGCTTCACAAAATATACCGTAAATTGAATTGACTGCATATTTTGCGGGCAAAACGTGGCAGCCAAATTGCGCACAGCTGTGTCCCACAAAGTCACGGATTTTCATCGTTTTGTCTTATTTATTTTATTTATTTATATTTGTTTGAAGGAATTATTACCCCCAGAAAAGCAATCCGCCAATCGACTAACAGGCGGGGTTCCTGCTTGGTAAGCAGGGGCGTGTGGAGCGAGGAAACCTGCCCCGCATGTCGCCCTGCCGGGAGTCGAACCCAGCTCTCTCGCTTTGCGATGCAAGTGCTCTCACCGATGAGCTGCAGAGCTGCACATGTTGGCTCCAAGCCATTCTCGGAGGGGCAAGACCACCCCACACCACAATTCTTAACGGAGCAGTAACTGCTCTCCGTCCATTCATCAAGGCCAAAAGCATGGCAACCACTCCACCCCCAGCGCTGAAGGACAGAAACTGCTGCCATCATAATTTTTTTTGAAGGGCCGGTAATTGCTCCCCTTTTGTTTTAAAAGGGGCGGTAACTCCTCCCCACCATCTTAACCGGGGGGGAGCAGCGAGATACATCGCTTAAATGAGCACACTCGCCTTTGATTACGAAGGTTGGTGGTGGGTGTGGGGGGGGGGTGTTTTCAAGCTCCGCGTCCAGGCCGATGAGTATCAACTCAGCGCCGCGGTGGGAGCGCTTCGGAAATTACGTCACAACTTCGGTTCCCCCGCGAAGCCGCGGTCAATTTTATCTCTGGGGGCCGACAGGGCTGAGGCCCCACCGGGCGGGCACTTTTGAGCTCACGGTCCAGTCCGAAGGTCCAGCGAGCTGCTGGCGTGTGGGGGTTGGGGGGGGGGAGGCCGCCTTCCTCTCGAACAGTGCGGTCGTTTGACTGAAACGTTAAAAGCCGAGGTCTTCTCGAGGTGTCCCCTCAAGAGGAAGGGCAGCTCGTTAACAGCTTGGGGAGAGAACTTGGCAGTCCGTTACTGTTGCGCCCGTCAAGGACCCGACCGACGCTGGCGGAAATTACCGGACGAGGCCCGACCGTCCGTCCCGCGGATAAATCGCTCGCCCGTCTCGTCTCGCTCGCCCGTCTCGCTCGCCCGTCTCGTCTCGCTCGCCCGTCTCGTCTCGCTCGCCCGTCTCGTCTCGCTCGCCCGTCTCGTCTCGCTCGCCCGTCTCGCTCGCCCGTCTCGCTCGCCCGTCTCGCTCGCCCGTCTCGCTCGCCCGTCTCGTTCGCTCGCCCGTCTCGCTCGCCCGTCTCGTCTCGCTCGCCCGTCTCGTCTCGCTCGCCCGTCTCGTCTCGCTCGCCCGTCTCGTCTCGCTCGCCCGTCTCGTCTCGCCCATCTCATCTCGCTCGCCCGTCTCGCTCGCCCGTCTCGTCTGCTCGCCCGTCTCGTCTCGCTCGCCCGTCTCGTCTCGCTCGCCCGTCTCGTCTCGCTCGCCCGTCTCGCTCGCCCGTCTCGCTCGCCCCTCTCGCTCGCCCCTCTCGCTCGCCGCCGTCTCGTTCGCTCGCCCGTCTCGCTCGCCCGTCTCGTCTCGCTCGCCCGTCTCGCTCGCCCGTCTCGCTCGCCCGTCTCGCTCGCCCGTCTCGCTCGCCCGTCTCGTTCGCTCGCCCGTCTCGCTCGCCCGTCTCGTCTCGCTCGCCCGTCTCGTCTCGCTCGCCCGTCTCGTCTCGCTCGCCCGTCTCGTCTCGCTCGCCCGTCTCGTCTCGCCCGTCTCGTCTCGCTCGCCCGTCTCGTCTCGTTCGCCCGTCTCGTCTCGCTCGCCCGTCTCGCTCGCCCGTCTCGTCTCGCTCGCCCGTCTCCCGCACGGTTGGGGCAAGATCCTGCGGGGAGCGAAACGTCTGTGGCTGTTGCCAGAAAGACACAGTAACTACACTTGTCAGCCACTGAGAAGCACTTTGAGACATTTCAATGATATGTGAGACGAAGGGTTGGAGGATTATTTATGAAGGTACCACTTTCCTCCTCCTCCCTCCCTCCCTCCCTCAGGGCGACCGAGGCTCTCTCCGCAGATCGACCACAGGGTCCCGCCTTCCTCCTGCTGCCGCGTGTACTATTGGTCAGCAGTGGGACGGGCTTGTCCTTCCATTGGCCGTGGCGGCCGTCGCTCAGGCGGGCATCCCGCCCCCACCCCCTCCCCCCGCCTACCCTCACCCTCCCACCTATCAGCAGTCGGGCCTCGGAGAAGGTCACGCCCCGGAGCGCCGCCACCGAGCCCCCGATTGGTCCGACCCGGGCGAAGTGCGGGCCCGCGATTGGCTCGCGACGGCTGTCACTCCGGCCGGATCAGCGCCGGTCAGGTGAACGGGTGAGAGAGAGAGAGAGAGAGAGGCTCGAGACGCTGTGGCTCGTCCGTTGGTGACGGTTGGAAGCGCGAGACGGGCGAGACGGGCCGAGTTGGGGGGGAAAAAAAATAACGGTCAATTCAAATCTCAAACCCCCTCTCTCCTCCCCCTCCATCCATCCCCCCCCACACAACAACCCCCCACCACCTCCTCCTCCTCAACAACTCATCCACCTTGGAACAGGGCGATAAATGAACTGAAGAATACAGCCAACACAAGACTCCCAGACGAGATCATTTTTTTTTGAGACATACAATCTATCTCTCTCTCTCTATATATTATTATATATATATATATATATATATATACACTCACACACAAATATATATACATATATATAAAAAAAATTGTCGTCCTTCGATCCGCACCCCTCCTCAGCCCCCATCAGCAGCCTCGCCACCTCTGGAGAGAATACCGGGCGGGTTCGCTTCGTGCGAGGAGAGGAGAAGGAGAAGGAGAGAGAGAGAAGAGAAGAGAGAGATAAAGGGGGAGAAAAAGGCGAGAAAAAGAAAAAGAAGAGTGTGAGAGAGTGAGAGAGAGAGAGAGAGTGTGGGGGAAAGAGAGAGAGAGAGAGAGAAAAAAAAACCATGTTTACCAAACCGAATATGTTCTTTTTCTGCTTGTGCAGCTTCTGCGGCTTTCTCTTTCAACTCCAAGGTAAGAGGAAACTTTTATTTCTTTCTCTCTCTCTCTCTCTCTGTCTCTCTTCTCCTCTCTCTCTCACTCTCTCTGTCTCTCTCTCTCTCGAAGACCCATTTGCAAACGAGCAGGTGATTTTGTAATTGCTTCTCGTCCCACTTGCACCCCCATTGGCTTTTTTTTTAGTAAGAGAAGGCGATTTTGTATGTATTTATTTATTCTCTCCCCCCCCCCCCCCACCACCCTTTGAATTGTACGTTGATGACTGCAAATGAACGTTCAGAGGAAAAAAAAGAGGGGGGGGGGGGGGGCAGCTCATAACGTTTTGGGAGAGAACTTGCGGTCTATATTGTTGCACCATTTTGCCCAGAAAGGGAGGAGAGTGAGTGAGTGAGTGAGAGAGAGAGAGAGAAAGAAAGAAAGAGGGGGGGTACCTTTTTTTTAAAAAAAAATGATGCAGTTTGGCAGAGAAAACCACGAGGGAAACGCTGAGTGTCATCTGAAATCCGTTTTGCACTGTTGGGCTGGGGTATCACAGCAGGAGGGAGTGTTATTCCCTGGGTCTGTCTTTTTTTTGGGGGGGGGGGGTTGTGTGTGTGTGTGGATCTGGTGGTGGATGTAGTTTTGCGATGGGAAGCAGAGCCCTTCGATGTAAAGGATCTGATTTGAAGAGCTCAGCTCTTTTTTTTTTTGTCTGCCGGCTATTGTGTGCACGTAAAAGATCCCTGTGTGTGTGTGTGTGTGTGTGTATATATATATGTATATGTGTAGCATTTCTAGGTACTTGCAGTAGTCTGCATCTTGGTGTCGTCTTGGTCCAGCGTTTCGTCGGGAGGACCAGGGATTAACTATTCCTGTCACAGCCGTACAAAACGGGCTGTGCAATTATGTACAATGTGTAATGACTTTGGTCATTTTAATGATGGTGTTGAATTTCATAATGCAGCAGCAATTAGCAAGTTCATTAGTCGTAGTTGCTATCTCAGTAGTTATTAAGTGTTTATTAACACTCGTTTAAAAAAAAAGTCGAATTTTAATGGATTGTTATGATTGTATACCCCCCCCCCCTCCCCCCTCCCCTCCCCCTGCGACTGAAGGAGAAATCTATGCACTTTTTTTTCTGAAAAGAAAGAAGGCGAGGGAGGCTGTCTGGTGTAATGTGTGGTGTTTGGGATTTTAGGAACACATCCCTATTTGATACAAATAAGCAAAATATGATGTGCCATATATATATATATATATACATTGTGTTTTTGTTCCAGATGCTGTGTTTTGAAAATACATTTTATTTCAATTCAGCTCAATGCAAATGAGTTTCTGGTGTTGACCAATGGATGTTTCTCTGTGAAGTCCAAACAATATAGTGTTTTGTAAACTAACAGTAACGAACTATAACCAATAACAAAACATCAAATACAATGTGTTTATAAAACAGGCTTGAGGTTTTGAGTGTTTTGAAGAATCTTGACTGAAAAAATCCTCATTTTGTACACCAGGTGGAGATATTGATACCAAAATAAATGCTGTACATATTAGTTGCAGTCAGTATTCTATTCTTTATTAATATTCTGCTCTTATTCTGTATATGTAATTGAAAATCTTACCAATTATTTGTATTTTATTTCTCTGTTGTTAGCTAATGCGTTTATCAGGGTGGTGGGTGGCTCGCAGCAAACAGTATTTTTTTAAAGTTATCCAGATAATACATTGGAGTGGTAATGCTAATTAAAATTGTATTACATTTTATCAGACTGATTTAATGTTGCGGTACATTGCACAGCTGGTGAATTTCATATTAAAAGTCTCAAAACTTGATTTAGATAACTGTACAAATCAGATAATTTGATCTTGCCCCTCCAGTCAATTTATAAATATCCGTTCATTCACGTGGTCCTGAATATGTACTTCTGTGGTTTTATAGGCTTTAATCTCAACTGAATACAGATATGATTATTTTGCACCCTGAGTTTGATTTTTTTTAAAAAAAAATTAAAAGGCAGAGTAGCAGCAGCTAAACGCAATCTTTGCACTCTGGGTCAGCCAACTGGGTAATTTGCTTTGTATAACAGATGGAAGAGTAAATTCTTGAAAGATGTATCTATCATCTTATTTTCCCCGGCTTTACTGCCCATTCCACCTCCTTACACCATTGTTCGTGTGTTCTTAAGATACAGAATGCCAGAATTGGAACATTTTTGCATCTCGTGACAGCATCAACCCGTGCCAATTTCAGTACAACTCTAGTTGTTATAGAGATTGAAGCTTCCAATGTGGTATATTCACAGTGAAGATGTAGCATGCTTCAGATGTAAAATAAAGATTGGTTCATCCTATCTTTAAGCATTCCCAGATTCTGTACAGCTTGAGCTCGATGCAGGGTAGAGTTTATGTTACATTACGTGAGCAGTGTAAACTCAGGAGCAATTTCTATTGCACTATTGTGAAAATTCTGTTTTCACAGTTATCCAATTGGCCCATCTTGACACTACTGCCATCAGCTCTTGGAAGCAACATATTTATACTGTGAGGCAACTTTATGGACTGAGAGACATTTTTTTAAAAAAACAATTAGGCCATACTTCTCTTATATAAGGTGACCAAAAATTTGCGAAATCTACCCTATTGTCTAAAAAGAGAAACATATCATAATTTCTTTGACTTATTAGACATTGTAATGGTATCACGACTTTTTGGTCACCCTGTATTTGTAGGTTATCCAATTTCAGTCTTTCATTACATGCTATAATCACTAGTCTTCCTACGTTTTAAAAAAAATTATAATTATTGGTGCCTCCTTGAAGCTCCGTCTCAAGACGCTCCCTTGAAGACCCGTTTCAAGACTCTCTTCTTCGACCGTGCCTTTGGTCACCCTCCTACCCCTATCCTGATCCCAACCACCAGCTCAGATGCAGATCCTTGATTGCCCAGCACCTTGGGATGTTGTCCTGACATGACCTTCTACAAATGTAATTTGTTATTGTTGATAGATATATATTTACACTTATCTCAGAAAGAATAAAAATCCATGTTTTCCTGTCTCGGGATGCAACCAATACACCCGGCCACATATGACGGTGGGGGAGGGGGGCCTCTGTGCACTCCACTGACTCGGGGATCTGCCTACTCTGTACCTTTCCTGTACCTCTACATTCTTACATAGTCCTCCACATGCTGGTTTATTTGCCCTGAAATATTCAGGGGGTGGTGTGAACTGGCAAGCAAATGGGAAGTGGTGGACCGATCAGATGACCCTCTGATAACCTAACTACTGAGATTAATGAGGATGTGACACCAAGCAACTATACGAGGGGGAGGAGCTACCCAAGGCTGTAGCGCAGATTTATTACGGTCTCTCGGGAAACTGCATGTAAGAATCTGGGCATGCACATTTGTCTTCTGAAACCATGCTCTTTGGCTACCACTCCTTTATGCTGCGTATTGCACCATCAACGTCATATCAGCCATGCCAATCTTCCACAGTGTAGCTTTGCACAGCAATGAGACTGTACAGAATTGATTCACGCTGCCACATACAGTCATTGCACATAATGAACGCGCCTGGCCAGGGTACAGCACATCATAATCGTGTAATGCTTTTAACCAGTGCTGCTGTTTTTTTGAACACTTGGCAATGGGATTAGGGTACATTTAAATTGACTCCACAAGTCAAGATAGTGCGTGATAGTGGGAATCATGACATTGGTTACCAAGTGACACCAAACATATTGAAGAAAACATTCTATCTGCTCTCAGATGTAAACACTTTTTCTAAGCGTCCCAGGAGTGAGGCCAGCAGTTCTAGAAGTATTCATTGCGTGTTTTGTTGTTCAGGCCCTTTGAAGAGATGTTTTTGTGTTGAAACAGGTGAGCTGATTTTGTATTGTTCTGAAAACGTGCCATTTATGTTCAAAATGGTTTACTGAGAACTGTGTGCTTGAAGATTGAGTAACGTTTCCTATATTTTCAAAGTTCAGTAAATAATAATAATCCTTGTATTTGATATAGCGCTTTTTACGTCTTCTAGAGGTCTCAAAGCGCTTCACAGAATATACTGTGTAGTGAATTGACTGTACGTTGGTGGGCGAAACGCGGCAGTCAATTGCGCACAACAGTGTCCCACAAACAGTCGTGGATTGGGAATGACCAATTTATTATTGTTTTGTTTTTTGGAGGGATTATTATTAGGCGTATGGAGTAAGGAAACTTGCCCAGGGTTTCGCCCTGCCTGGAATTGAACCCAGGTGTCTCGCTTGCAAGGCGAGTGCTCTAACCACTGAGGACTCCACAATATAAGCCAGTGTCAATATTATAAATAAATTTTTTGAGACTAGTTATTTCTTCATCAATAGTAGCCATTGTTGTGTATTCCTCCTTCTGGAATCTTTCTCCTTAAGGCTGGTGAGTAAGTGTAGGATGCGCCATGCATCTTTGTTGAAAGAGTGTCTAGGGAGAGAATATCTGATGAGATAATGTACCAAGTGGCATAAAGTTTACCTTTGTCTAAGACAAATACTGTATTTTGATTTCTGAACTCAGAATTTTGCTTAAAGTAACATATTCCTCTCGATACACTTTGCCCAACGCTGTTGGTCTTTTCTACAGCAGCTTGCAGCATGCTTCCGCTAAGGTGTACCATAATGATGGATGGTTCAATGAACGCTTGGGCAGGTAGATGGACAGATGGATGGTACAATTAGAGCATGTACTCGCGATAGTCATTAAAAGTTGCGGCAATTATAAAATGTTGCGCTGTCTGTTTAAAGCTTTGGTCTCTGCACTGCCCGCGATTTTCTTACTGGTGGTGTGAACTTCACCCTTTAATGAGGTCCATTAGGATTTTTATGGAAATAACATGTAAAATATTACACTACAAGGAGGACTTTATATGTCACTAAGAATATAAGGCTACCTGCATTATTTTCCTCTCAGTTACGTAATTCACTCTGCACATGTGAAGACTGAAAGTTGGTATTGTCCAGAAATGGATATAGTACTTGAGGTGGGCCACTGCAGTGTCA